ATTCTTATAATTGTCTAAATTAAAAATTTTTAAATGATCGTAACAAAAGGTAAACAATTTTATGTGATATTAATATATTAATAATAGAAATTCATGCAAAATGTTTTTGGTAATACTTTTATAAATGAAATAATTTCAATGATTAAAATAACTGATTGGATTTTAAATATTTTGTGCATAAACATTAATTTAAGATTAGGAAATGAAACATTTTTCCTTAAATTTTTGTGTGAAATTCATTACGATTACTTTGATATGTTACAATTGTAAATATTTTAGGTAAAAATTTACTTATCGCATCAAAAATGATTATTATAACTAAAAAAAGAACCATCATGCATGCCTTTTAAAATTCTCCTATATATATAAATTAATAATAAACAATAATTAAGTAAAAAAGTTTAGGATTTAATTTAAAAATTAATTAAAAATAATAAATATAATAAACCTTACCTTTTCTTCACAATAAACGTATTGTTCTGTATAATTTTCTTTCATAATTTAATTTTGGAAATTTTTTTATTTATAACTAAAAAACCACAACAGGATACTGTTTTTCTGTTTATATTTAAATGTTACATTGTTTAAATTAATGATCGTTATATTTACGTATTGTTTAAAAAAAAAAAAAAATTTAAAACTCTATTCGAAAATTTTAAAATAATTCAATACGTTTTAAAAATCGTTAAAAAAAAAAAAAAAAACATTTTTTTAGCATGGTTAAATTTAAAAATTTATTCTAAAGAAAATGGCCGACCGAATAAACAAAACAAATGAAACATTATTATTATTATTGTTTAAAATTATTATTGTTTTTTTTTATTTTATAACACGAGATAAAACAATTGAATGGCGTATGATAATACACTTATAATTTAATTCGTTGACAATAATTTTAAATTTTCTTATTCATCAAAGATTTTATACTGAAAAACAACACTTGACTGAGTTATCAAAATTATATATATATCGACATCACGTACGTTCTACTCCATGGAGTAATCGACACTGGCGCGCAGTTCCTATTGCGACTGCGCACTACGAGATAGATCTTGATATGATTTTTTATAAAAAGACATTGTCATACTATTGGAATATTAATAAAAAAACATGTTATTTTAAAATAAATTTTAACAAATTGTATGGATTATGGATTGTGCAGAATCCATGGGGGAAAAATTTTTTTTTTAATTTTTTATTTATTTATTATACAATCGTCGATAAATTAAATCATTATAAAATCAATTTATTAAAGTCCTTTAATAAATAAATCTATGTATGTATTTTTTATAAGGGGAACTTTTTAATAATATAAAGTTTATTAATAGTAATAAACTATTATTACATTATATTATAAAATATTTCGATTAAAAAAAAAACATGACGTCATTCCATGATATAATAATATTATAATTCAAAAACCACCTTCCATATTTTTTTTTTTTTGTATTTAAAATCTATATTAAAAAAAAAAAAAAAATTGATTGATTGATTCGATTAATAAAATATCGATTGAAAAAGTCTCATATAAAAAAATTTTTATTGATAAAAAAAACGACGATAAGAATATAAATAAATTATAAAAAAAATTTTAGATTTAAAAAAAAAAAAAAAAATTCGTGCGTTTCGTTTGTTTGTTAACTAAAAAAAAAAAAATTTTTTTTTTTCGTCAGACAGCTTGACTCCCACACTTATATACCATTAAAAGAAAAAGGGGGGGACACGTAAAAAAAAAAAAAATTCGGCAGTATAAAAAACTATTTCTTCTTATAAAGTTTTTTTTTTTATTTTTTATTTTTTAAAATATGCCTGAAGAAAATTTCACGCTATTCAGGTTGGTTAGTCTTTAAGAGAGAAAAAAACCTTTAGAAAACCGTTCGAAACCATTTTGAGGGTCAAGGTTTTAATATTTCCAAAAAAAAGACGTTTTCAATTCTATAAAACTTTTAAAAAACAATAACATCGTTAATATTATCATTATTATCAATACTCTATAAAAATTAAAAATAAATAAAAAAAAAAATTAAACCTTAAGGTAAAATTTAAACAACAACAAACGCAATATAAATTAATTTTTTTTTTTTTTTTTACATTACGTATTGTAAATAAATAAATAAATAAATAAATAGTTTTAATAAATTTAAATTAAATAAATATTTAACAATATAATTAAAAAATCTTATTTATTAATAAAATAAAATATTTATTAAATCCAAAACAATTAATTTTATTATTATTATTTTGTTAAAATTTTATTAAAATTACCAATAAAAATTTTTGTGACTTTTTTATTTATTTATTTATTTAAACTAATTAATTAATTAATTAATTAAATTTAAGTTTTAAAGCTAACGTTAACTGTAAGGATATACATAAATAAAC